CAAGTGTCAATTTAGGCCGCGCAAAGGCCTCAAGGACAGCGAAATTGTTGATAATCAAAACGCAATCGTAGATGTCCACACCAATGACAAAACCTAAGCTTGGTGTCTGCAGCACTAAGCCGGACGGTGGAGACCATGTGCCGTCAGTCTTACGCGCAACCAAGACACCGCTGCCTCCTGAGCCTGAGGTCCACAGCCCTGATCTCATTGATGTGAAAACAGCTAATCCAACAGCATTTTGTATTAACCTCGGGGGGATCTTCTTTAGAACTCTGTTCGATGAATGCGTGCTCGATGATGTCAAGGGACTTCCGGGTCGATCATCGGGTGTCGAGAAACCATCACCTGTTGGCCAGAGTCAGCGAAACTACCAGTTGAAGCTGCAGTGATTAGAGCGCCGAACATACAGCAAAACGACTTCAATATGCGAGCAGCTTTTTCGCATTCTTTATCAAGTGTTGAGGGCCAAAACACTTCCTTGGCGAGTCGGGAAGAACGGGACGAAGGGATTTTATCAGCCCAGCCGCGCACCTTTTCGACGCTGTTCTTGCGGGCATGACCGTTGGTGAGACTACTGGCACTGGACCTATTACGATCCCAGCTAGGGAGTAGAGACGAGACGCGCTGCATTGCTATCGAGCCGGTTCGCCGAGGCAGACAAAACGAGCGGCGGTCGCTCGCGCTCTCTTAGCGACGGAGGGTCGTCCAGCAGACAAACGAATTGCGGGCTGTTGGTGCTGTCCGAAAGTCACTGGTGGTCCTGGAATTACGGAACTCCATACAGCAGCTTATTTTGGGCCGGGCCGGCTGGAATGGGAGGGGCGAGTCGAATTGGTTAGAGGTTGAGACACGGCCGAACTTCGTATAGTACCGGTGCGAATGATCCAGGTGGTCGATGTGGTCTACATGTAGGTATGTGGGCTGTGAAGGAATTCGTGGTAGCAGTAGCAAGGCTGCCTTCGCTTATGACCCTGCGACCTCGAGATTATGAGACGGAAACCATCGACCACGGGCCTTGGTCAGAGGGGGGTGGATGATGGATGCGTTAGGATGGACCGCAGATCGTGGGTGCTGGTGGCTTGCAGGTCAAAGTGACGTTTTTGGGGGCTCGTTAGACCCTGTACGGCCTGGGGCTAGCCAGAATGGAGACCAAGTAGGTACATACACCAGGCGAAGGAGGAGCTGGACAACAGGGGGGACAGTGTGCTAGCGCAGTAAAGCAGGCGCACGCAACTACCTACTGTACTTTAGACATTACCTACTACGTACTTAGGTACTACATCAGGATGCATCCTCGTTCGACAGTACATCTACTGTACCTGGGGTAGACTGTTTGAGATGCTGCGCACCGCAGCTACTGTATCCAAGGCACCGGCGTACAATATTTGCCTAGTAGTGCTTTGTAGCACTTGAGTACCTAGCACATACTACCGGTACATTAGCCCTGGAGGCCGACTGACACTGCAACCTCGAGTGGTGGTAGCGCAGTCACTTCAGTCGGAAGCTTACTATATTCCTATCACAATTTTCTCGCAATTCTTTTCGCCAGTATACTGAAAAGCTGAGATTGATATAATTCAGGCTACACTAAGCCAGGGATCCCAGGCTACAGGCTGGAATACACTAGGTATTACAATCCAGATGACAATGAGGCCCGGCGTATACTACATGTAAGGCATTTTTCTCTACCTCCACAAGTACAATGATAGCTCTAGCGCCAGGGGCAACATTTGGTGGTTGACCATCTCTAAACCCCCCATTTTACTCCTTTGGGGGGTGGCGTGCGGAGAGGGGCGCGGCCATTCCTTGGAATTTCAGGAACATCTCATGATTTGTTATGGGGCAGCCGTGGATCGTGGGTATACTACAGTAACGACATACATATAAATAAATATATACAGATGGGGAACCCCTGGCTAGGAGGCCGGCCGTCCGGGAGGGAAGACGCAACTACATACAGTACAAGCGGGAACAACGGAAATGTCTTTTTCCTTACTGGTACTTACGTTCCTCAGCTTGTAGCATTATCTGTTGCTACCTCTGCTTAAATTTTGAACCATCCGGGGAAAGATCGTTGGAACCGTTAGATGTACACCAGGCAAATCCAGACGCTCTATTCAGTGCCTATTCAAGGCTGCCTAACCCAAGGTAGGTAGTGTCATGCGCTTGGTGCTCGTAAAAAAGCTTGACATCACCAAATCTTGACTCCCGCTTTATCTTCGTAGCCTACCTGCATGTACCTATCACGCTACTCGTTTAGTGTACAGTATTTCATGTCTGCAGCCTTTGATACAGATACCTACTATCGTGATACCGGCACCTCGATTGTAGTCACCAAGGCGGAGACAAGGAACAAAAAGTAGAACCTTGTCAAATGTCTGATAGAACGCCTTTTGTGCGTATACTAGGTATGTAGTACCACCGATATGCCAAGATCGGCGCTGTCAAGCACCACGCTTATTCCCCAGTTTCAATGGCCGAGCAGTACGGAGTGCAGGCCGAGTCATTAGACTCTGAGACATTTCAACATGCCTAGCGGGGTTGCCATCCTTTCACTGGCAGCCTCGAGAAAGAAAAAGAAGAAAAGAAAAGAAAACCAAGAAGAGATTCAAGGCTTTGTTCCTACAATTTTGCATTGGTAGGCTATCAAGCGACGCTGAAAAGCATGAGTTACAGTACATCTCATTACAACCTCGCCATGACTCGGGGGGGGGGCCTCCGTTGTACGTCTGTGTGTGCATCTTGGTTGTCATGCCCGTAAGGAGACAAAGAGAAAAATTGCGGGTGGAATCCCGGTTTTATCATCCGAGCCGAAACGCCCGGATCGGCATATACACTAGGACGGGATTTTAAGGTAATTCATGATACCGCTACTATAAGTATACTATATACCTGGGCATACTTAGTAGTTTGTTTTACCTACTCCGTACCTCTGAGTCTAACCGAATGACGGGGAGAAACATAGCACAAGGCTTGGATGGGCCAAGCCTAGGTACCTGATATATGCACTGAGTAATATCCGTCTGCAACGCTGTTACTGCAGTTATCATGTCCGATGTCACCCCCCAATACGACCATCTAATCCTGTCTTGCTTGGGGGCCACTGTCCATGTGCGGCGGTGAGCCAAGACAAGGGCTCTTTCTGCGTACCTAGTTGATGCCACAACAACAACAATAACAACATTGACATAGGTAGGCTACAAGGAGCATTCTTGATTGGGGGCCGTTCTATATGTATCTGTCCTTAAAATGCAAAAACTACGGGTACATGTAAGTAGGTAGCGCATATACATACTTTGCGACATCGCAAGGGATTAGAGGTAGATCTGGTATACCGATCACTTGCCGCTGTAATCTTAGCACGGCTGTATCTATCACATTTTGCACACGGAACAGAACAACAGATTGATTACTCATATAGCGACAATGCTCACTATTACCGGTATCCCACGCGGTGATTGCGTCAGGCATCTACCGATCCTATTATCTGCTGATTCTACTCTGATTACATGCCACAAAGTAAACAGAATTGCATAATACGTCGCTTAATTGACCACACCATGACATCTTAGGGCAGTGGCCCACCGAAATACCTAAGATCTGCCCTTTGTCTCATCAGCCACCCATGCTGCTGGGAAGCGAAAAACAGTTTCTCGGGATTTTCGATTTTCTTGGATTTCTTTTTCGCTCCTCACTCTGCAGCACCTGATGAAATAGGCATCGTTGTGCGAGGCTTATTCCCAGCATATACGCCAGCTCACGATGCCATCACAGGTACCGGTAGTAGCTCAAGCAATTATACTACGAGTCATAATGCGCAACTAGGCAAACAATGCCTGGCGGCTCATACATGACGATACTACCCAAATAATGATACCGCGTCAAGGAAATCACTTCTCAGTTCTCTGTCCGCCGTCCGATGTTAGATAAACAAGTACTGACAAGTTATGACCATGCGAGAACAACGCTTCACCGACTTTATTATTATCACAGTTGTTGAGAAGATATTCACAAATAGGTAGTATCCACGGATGACACTCAAAAAAAATAAAAGAAACACAATCCCTAGTTTGTGCTACACCACGACGGGTGATTCTTACCGTGCCATCTCTTCCCCAGTCAGCAAAATGACAAGCTCGACCTGGTAGATCCCCTCCCCCAAATGCACATGACATACCTGCCTACCTACTCTTGTCTCATTCATTTCGGCCAGCCGACGCCCGGTCTCTTTCAACCAAGGAGATACCTACTCAGTAGTACACGCTAGATGGTGTTCCCGTGATTAAATACATCCCATGTCTGCACGGTTACAGCAGATAACGGTGGTCTGTGGATAGGTGGTGAGATGGACAGGTCATATCATACAACATAATAAGCAGGAGCTTCTTCTGCAGGAGTATTCGTTTCGCAGACACCGACCGACAGCTTGTCAGCAGGTTTGGATTTGCCAGTCTGTGCTTTTTTGTTTTTTTCTTATGGTTTTTTTTTCCTGTACGCAGTAGTATTATGCAGATGAGATGGATGTATCACTTGTGAATCTCAGCCTCAAATTGTTGGCGTACTTGTACTTAGATAGTGTGGATCATACTTCTTCACACATCCCTCTTATTCTGCTACGCCCTACACGTACCTGCTACCGTGGTCCTGGGTATGGAGTCTGCACCGGACTGGCACGGTTTGGAGCTGAACCCCACAAGGCATTACTCATTGTTTATCTTACGACATATCTTGTGGATACTGCAATTCGCTATTGTTGCTTTTTTACTAGATATCTATCATCGTCTATCGTAAGGTATTACTCCTCTTTTTCTTGCCCATGTAGTTCACGGCTCCATTGCGCTTAGAAACTATAGACAGGGGGAAAAAAAAGAAGGTAGTTGTAGACTGATCACATGAAAGTCGCCGAATACCCCCGGGAAGGGAGTATTCTCATCCATGTATGATCAATTACCATCCAGTGATCCAGTTCTGTCAGACCTCAACAAAGTTGATGATAATGACGACAACGGCAGGATTTGAACCTACGACCCCGAAGGGATAAGATGTCTAAACATACGCTTTCCGTACATTCTAGTCTTACGCTTTAACCACTCAGCCACGTTGCCCATAACGCTTAACTCGTTAGTAGTGGGTTATTGCTGCGAGTGCCGGAATATTGAGGGCATCGTGAACCCTTGGTACAGTGCACTAGCCCTATCCTACCCCTGGAGACCCAGTAATGCATACTTACCTACTTACTTACCATAGTTAGTATAGTTAGTAGGGTATGATTGAGTACAGTAGTGACTTTTACCAAGCACGCTTAGGCCCCGCCTGTGTGTAGTGTAAGCAAGCAAGCAATCATTCGACCTGGGGCGATAAACATACCAATAGGACCGGGACACATGAGTACAGTAGATGGAAATGCTGTATACGCTACGCTACACTAGGCATTCGGGGTCGTCGAACCTATCGGATCGCCGGGTATTGATGATGCCGGGTTCCGGGGACGGGGGTTTTTTGGAGGAACCAGCGCAGCGCAGCTTTCTCATCATCAATCACAGAGACAATTTTGCCCGCTTTTTTTTTTGTTACAGTCCCACCGTATCATTGTGTTACTGGCTACTGTACAAAACAAACGGGACGGTTTTGCGGGAAAAGCTGACTAGTAATGTCACGGTTGGGTTCAATCTGGAGAATCTCGTCGGCGACTCCGTAGAGCCTCATTATCACTGTCTAAGCTTACCTCACCGCTTCCGGACGCCGGGATTCAAATCATACGAAATCAAGTATGGGAGCTTGGTTACGAATCTAAAGGAGAGAACAAGAACTGAAGAATAACTAAGGTATAGCTGTTTGTTGACAACTAGAGCGGTCAGTGTTGATGCTAGATACATGATACAATGACCTAGAACTCAACATGTTTAATTCCACGAACTTCCTCATTTTCTCATCTATTTTAAGATTGCGAAGTAAATTGTGGTCAATTTATGCGTACTTGTATAGTTCTTAAGCCATGTTATCCGCAAATAACGCTCTTGTAATGTAGTTATATGATCCTCCAAGAAATATGCTAAAATGATAAAAAAAATTCTTCAAGGCTCTTTCGAAACCCCCCCTGAGGGAATCCAAATGGACATTCTGGCAGAAATTTTCAATTCCCTTTGCGAACGCCGTATCATCCAATATTCGTTAATCCCTGAGGAATTTTGTGCAAAGTTGTCTATAAGTTAGAGTTGCGTGATCATAAATCATTGGAAAACAATCGCCTCCATCCGCTCCCGCATGGAGACATGTTCATTCCATGGTCAAACAAACTGCTCACATATTGCATTCTTCCTCCACGAAAAAAAAGCCGGGAAAAAAGGAAGGAAAAAAGAAGGAAAAAAGGCACCATTCAAACGCCGGTCATCCAGCCACTAGATGACCTCTGATGCAAGTGTTTCTCGTGATACCCAAAATTTGAGGGAAAGTAGAGTTTGCCGGTTGTGCTAATAATCGGCTACTTATGTAGCCCAAATTGATTCCAATCAATATCTCATGTTCTAAGAAGTGCCGAGCAGCAATCATAGACGTAGAGAGAGAAGTGGCCAGTCAATCGTCAAATGATTAATCATTTTGCTGCATCAACGCATTCTTGCCGGGGTAAATGCCACCGTGGAGAACGTATTGCTCGAAAGGCAGGCAGCTGATAGTGTTGCGCGACGATCGAACCCACCCAGGCTTCGGGACTTGTTCCCAGTTCTCGTCGTTGAGGGGGTAGAAGTTGTAAGTCTCGTGCGAGGGAAGGTCTTGATGCTCGCAATCGAATATGCCCTCGAGGTGCATGCGTTCGAGCTTCGGTAATTTCTTACGGAGGCCGGTGAATAGCGATCGAAATGTTCCTTCATAGAGGTGAATCCCCCCGTGCGATGCCTCGAACGGTTTGGCTAGCCCCCGACCACCCAGTCGCAGTCGAAGCAGAGTGGCGCCGTGTCGGCCCAGGAACTCTTTGAGATCCTCCTCGTCACACGACACACCTTCCAGCATCAGATCTGTAAGCTGCGTGTAGGTAAAGCCAAAGAACAGTTCCCGAAAGGAAAGTACAAATTTCGAGTGTTCACTCGAATAGGGGTGGAATGCGAGCTTTAGATGCTTTACATTAGTGGCAAGCTGGAGGATGCGGCCCAGTCCATTCACGGCCCTAAATGCTGACGTCGGGCCTTGGAGGCCAGAGGGGTCCAGAGTCAAGTTGAGGCTGGATAGGGTGTTGAAAGATTGGGCGTGCGTAAACCAGTGCGAGCGATGGTTTGGCATCCGGAAAACCTCGAGCGGGAGCCGGTCCACCTTGAACGAAGATAACTTGACCCCATGCAGAGCGAACATGATTGCATCCAGATTCTGATACGTTTCCTGTCGGTCCATCTTCCTGCAGCTGGGGTAGAAGAAGGCCTCCTGGATGCAGTTATTGTCGAGCGTCGATGGGCATTGCGCAAAGGAAACCTCCAAATCGTGGAGATTGGGTAAAGCCGAGCAGGCCTCCCGGAGATCGTCAGCCCTCAGATGGAGGGGTCCGACTTGCTTACGCCCCAACGCAATCTTCTCAAGTTCCGCTCGAGCCTGTGCCATCAGCTCGGCTCGTTCTATTGGGGGTGCCACGAAGTGCTGGGCCCTACTTAGCATCGTATTAGTTAGGGATGCTCAGTAAAATACGACTGCTGATCTCCCTCCAGGATTAGAGGTGTCTTGTTGTGAGACCTGGACATCAATCAAAGGGAGTTCGGGGTCTTCCTACCATGAAGTGGACCATGCATCGCCGTAAGACAATTCGCCGAGAAAAAGGTTGATCGATTTGATGCTTCCCCTCAAGCGTTCGTGGAGTGCGATGCAGTGCAGGCGATCAATATCATCACGCCAATGAAGCGAGGTGAAGTGTGGCGATAGCAAGAATTCATAGCCAACGTCTGCCAGCGTCCGGCTCACGGCGCGCAGATTGGGGACCGATTCAAAATCACAGTAGGCGTATACGAGCCTCAGGAGTTCGACGGGTAGAGCATCCATGGGAAAGCCGGAGGGAGGAGGGTTGCTGACGGCGGGCGAGTTGCAATGGAGAAGAAGGGCGGGATTGGAAAAGAGAAAGATATTATGAGGTTAGGTGACTTATATAGTTGGTAAGGACCCAGAAAGAAGAAAACGGTGAAAAACTCTGGTAGACAAATGCTATATAAAAATAAAAATAAAAAAAGGCAGAAAAGGCAGAAAATACACTAGACTAGCACCCGAGAGAAGGACTTCAGTGGTTGCGCAGCGTCGTTAACGAAGAGGCGGAGAGACGTTCATTTGTGCGTTTCTGCAGCAAGCCTCTCCGATTTAGGACAAAGGCCAAAAAAACAAAAAAGGCAGCAGAAATATCGGTGAGAGTGAGACACACGTCGGCACAGACTGCTATCTTACGGGCGGCAGCAGAATCGAGCTTTTCCCGTCGAATGAGTGGCGGGCGAGACTGGCCTGACGGGGCCCTGTCGGATTGGATCTGACTCTCCAGTCTCCAGCCTGAGCCTGACAACAGACGAACACGACCACGACGAGCCAAAGTAGCGGTATAGTAGCGGTAAGGCGGGAGTGCGCGCGTGGTGTCACACCTGCAGAAATCCCATGCCTCAAGGCCCTCCGCCTAACGCAAAGGGGACGTTACGGTGAGGGAAAATGCTGCACGTCCTGCACAGTCCGCCCAGCCGGGTCTTCTACTGTGGCCTGACAGAAGCCTGGCACTCTCTCAGAACCTTCTTAACCCTTAGTACCTGCATTAGATTCCCACGAGGCGGCTTGACACTGTGGTTTCTCGGTGAGCTGGGACGAAGATGCGACGTGCCGCCAGCAGGTTCACTGTGATTCGCCTGCGTCATGCTGGGTCGCCAAGGGTGCCTGGTCGTACGCCAGCTCGCTAGCTCGTTGATGTACTCCTGTAGTGTAAGTATATCTAAGTTGGCGGGACACCTCGGGCGGGCCCCCGAATTACTAAATCGCAACCCTACCCGACCGCGAGGGTTGCTAGCGGCGTGACGAGAACTACACTAGAGAAGGTGGGCATTCATTCATTCATTCACACGTCTTAGGTATCTATGTGTAATCAATGCGAGAGGTATCATCATATATGAAGAATGACCACCTATTAGTGCCATTCTTTCATTCATTCATTCATCCACCCATCCTCCAGCGAGGAACAAAACATCTATCCTCAACGAGGGACATTTATCCTCAACGAGGACCATCCATCCTCCAGCGAGGAACTTCTATCATTTGGTACCTGCGTAGACCACTCGCGGAATGCCCCTCGGAAGTAGACCATATCCACCACAAACTTGTCCCGGTAACTGGGTACCGTGCCTCCAACCCAGATGGCTGGCTAGCAAGGATAGCCCGAATAGGTAGAGGCCACGCTGCCAAGAGGATCCTTCAACACGTCAGTAGTCTAGCGCAAAATGCCTTCCAGACCGCAAGATACCGACTGCCTATAACTTTCCGTGTCGTGCCCGAAAGAGTTCCACCTTGTCGTCGTAGTAAAGAATTTCACGTAGACGCAGCCGTGGTGGTGCCTTATTCGCTTCCACTCCGACAAAAGAATCTGCCTCTGATTCTCCGTCATCAGACGTCTCCTCCATGAAATCGTCATCGGCGCCCAGGAAGGAGTCGTTGCCATCATCATTATCATCGTCCTCAGTATCGTCATCGCCTTCGCTATGACCGTCGATGTGATCTATGTCACCCACGGATATAGCTTGGTCATCATCGTCTTGAAAGCGATGATTGACATCTTCCCTCCGTTCTGTGATTTCGAAGCATTTGCCCCAAAGTCCCACATATGCGAGCCGTATCTCTCTTCTCAGACTGATGATATCTACGATCTGGAGGGCCAGCTCCTTCGCCACGGGCGGCGTCGCACCATAGTGGCCAAGCATTTGCGGTATGTAGAGAGACCGCAAATTGGCCAACTGGGGCAATTGTTGCAGAAACGTATGCTGTATCTCACCGTGTTAGTAGATTGCACTACTACACAGAAGCAGTAGAGCAATACTCACCCATTCTTTAAAATCAGTCACCATACCCAATTCTCTCAAGTTTGTCATTCTGCCGCTCGTGATGTATG